CCATACCAACAGCATTATCTGATTTATCCTTCTCTGGCTTGGGGTGTCCTGCACTAAATGCATCGACTTTGCTCTCTCCAATGGCACTGTTTATACAGGGGTGGGGCAGGATTATGAGAAAGCTCCAGACTGACAGTGACATTGTGTTCTTCAAGTCTCTCTTCAGGCTCATTTCTTTCAGATTCAAACCATTCTTGTTTAATTCAAAATCATTCTTTAACTAAAACCTGTTCTACGTATGCAGCTCATGGGCTATTTCTACTATCTGAGAAATTTAAGAGTATTGTGTTTGTTATTTTTTAGGGAAAATTTAGACACTATGACAAAAACAAACCAAATGCAAAGCTCTAACAGCCCCCTGTGATTTTTATCTGCAACTTCTCAGCTTTGTTTTCACAAGAAAAATTCCAGACTCTCTACAAGATTTCTCCAACAATTATACCACCCTCTTACTGAGTTCCCTTTGTGTAAAAGCCAGCCTCTCTGACCTGTTCTGTTCCTCTAGTGCCTGACTGAAACCCTTCAGAAAAGGCTTTTTTTTTGCTCTTGCCAAGAGGAAAGAAAGCAGGGTACTTAGCTGGATGAGGTAAGCCTTTGCCGGATGAGTCCACTGCCCATGGGTGATATCAGAGGCCAAGTCTTCTAAAATAGGTCACCTCTTGCCCTGTATATCTGCTCCAACTGCATTAACATTATCCAGTGGGAGAAGAGGCAGATGAATTTTGATCTTACTCTAAAACAACCACAAGGCTTCCCCCAGCCTGGCCATGCCATTTGTACAACAGTGGAGACTCACGGAAAAAGCGATCAGCAACATCTAGTGGTTGTCATCCTGGCCATAACCAGCCTCCTTCCACTCAGTTCTTTTCTGACCTCATATAATGACACCTTTGGGGTAGCAAGGTTTATTATATCAGCTTGGCTGAGTGGATGTGCTAATAAATATTCAAAAGAGCTCTGCTACCAAGAGCATTTGGGAGACAAATCCCTTAGTGTTTCCTCCATATTATAGCAATAAGATCAGGCCAAAATTTGCAGGTCTCCCCTGACTGGGTGAGATTTTGCCCTGGGTAAAGAATAATTCTTAAAGGTCTGTGATGAAAGGGGCTCTGTGCAGGCTCCGGACTTTCAGAAGTGCCTCTCCTTAAGGAAATAAGGCTTCATTTCAGAAAGTCTCTGTACATATCTGGACTGATGGAAATATCCTTTAGATTGAAGCTTTCATTGGTGAGTATGGATGATTTCTCTTCCTGAGGACATTGACTAAAGCCTGAAACCCTGTTTATCTTGCTAGGTCCTGCTCCAGTCTACATAAGGTAATGTTGACCCTAGCCTCAGACACTATTCATGCAGCACAGGGGAAAGTCCTCAACTGCTTTTTCCTCAGCACAGGTGTAAAAAACCTCTCAACAAAACTCCAGTCTTATTTTTACATACCTCGACTTTCCATTTACTTGGTTATGTACAAATCTGTTCTCAGCACTTCATACGATTTCTATTATACCACTTCAAAAGAAAACCACAAGAAATGTCAAGAAATTATTTCAGTAATTAGATTTCTGTTAGCTAATTAAAGCAGCCAAGAATAAATTAAACTACAAAAAATTATGTGTTGAGATTTGAAATATAATACAGCTGTACTGTGTTCTGCGAGCAATGTTATGGTCTGTGAGGGAGGAAAACAGAGCACGACTAAAAAGTCTTCTTCCCTCCTGGCCCCAGAAAGAGAGCAAACCTGTAGGGAGTTTTCTACCAGCAGCTTTCGTTTTGTTTCATGTAAGAGAGAAATAGCTGATCACTTGAATTCGTTCTCACTGATATAATTGCCTAGTTATAAACATGATAAGCAAACTTCTCATTCTGTATAACTATGAGCAGAATCTTGACTGCACATTAAGTCAATGGAACCAAAGGTTGCTGAGATACCAGGGATTTTATTCCCTCCTGTGTATCAAGTGATATCACAGTCTGGTAATTGTTATTCAGTTTCTGATTATTTTGTGACCCCTCTGAAGAGGAATTTATGCCCAAAGAGTTCAGTAAAGAAATTCAGCTTATAATTGTCAATGGATCTGAAAGGGATTTAAGGATGGGAAGTGCATGGCTTTTTTAACTTCTTTAGGAGGACTTGTCTGATTTGCAGTACCTAACTGATGATGTTCTTGCTTATCTTCTATCTTCCATTCTCATTGTAAATTCTGTTGTCACTGAGATTTTCTACATGGAATCTCTTAATGCCAGAACTGTTGCAGTGAGAGCATCAGTTCTCACTGTATTGAGAGCATCAATTCCCACTGTATTGACTCACAAAAGGACCCTTTCTTGCACATGCTTTCATTAATGTATTTAGACTGCTTCCAAATCATTATAATTTACACTGGAAAAACATTATTTGTCCAAGGAAAAATGTTCACACAACTATTAATTTAATCTTTCAGTGAGACCAAGATAGCTTTAAGTATTTCCTCAGGCAGAGACCTCTTGACTGAGCTGCAGCCCACACTGCACTCCAGTTCTGCTCTCTGTCACCACTAAATTCTCCCTTTTACTTCTGCTACATCATCACTATTCCTATCTCTCAGTACTACCTCAGCTACACACAAGCACTTCTATCTTGTTCCATGTCCCGCTTGCCTTTCATCTTTTCCTCTACACAAAGAGTTCTTGTTTATTTCCTACTCTCTGCCTCAGTCTATGGCACTCAGGAATCTCAGCTTCCCTTGTTCCCATTCCTTGTAACCTGTCCTTAAAATCTATACTCTCCATTGAGTCTTATCCATCAAAATGCCTGTCAAAAACAAGCATGCAATGGTCTTTCTGTCCTCAAAAATTAATGCATGTCAAAATGCGCTATTCACCAAACTGCATCTCCAACCAGCTCTACCTTTCACTTCATCTCACAACTCACTTGAAATGCTTCCTGTCTGCTGCTTCAAGTTTGTTTCTTTTGCTCCTCTAGGTTTATTTCTGATCTCTGTTTACTGGATTTGAAAAATTGTTTGTTAGTGTGATTTTGCAAGTCATTCTTCATTTTCCATGTTGTCTGATGCTATTCATTGGCACTATTTGCCCTGTTGATATGAATGATTTCTCTAACTTCGTACAGGACCAGTTCTTGTTCAGAAAGTTGTCTGCCGTATAAGAGAAGCTAGATGAAAGGAAAGGCTGGAAACTTTCCAGTTCTGGTAGGTGTAATGCCACCTCACTGAGAACACTAAATGTGGAAGCCCAACGAGTTAGAGTTGTGCACTTCCTTAGGAACAAGTCCTGAAATCTGGCAAAGCTTCTGATTGCAGTTTTTGTTCATTATGCAAGCCTCAGCTTGGATTTACAAAACATATTTTTGATTTGGGCAATTTTAGACTTTCAGGAAGGAATGCGATATAACTTACTTTTCATTGTTCTCTGCTGCAAGTTCCTGACTTATTCAAATTTCAGCCTCCAAACTAAATCCTGAGCTAAAAACAATCCACTATTGAAACTTTGAAGTCTGTGTCTGTTTGGTACACAACTAATAAGAAAGATTACAAGAATATAAATAATAACCCATTTAGCCAGCCTAACTTCATACCCCAAAGTGCTTTACAAAGCAAATAGACACTGCTATATTTAAATAGGCACTGCTATACTTATTTACAGGTAGGGAAGTCAAGGAAGAGATTAGTCACCTTACTAAAGTTCATACAAATGTCAATAGCAGGAACTGGCCTCCTGATTGTCCTGTCTAATTCTGTATCTGTGGGACCATGCTTTAGTAATCAGCACTGTTTTCAACTACACTTTTAACCTTGAGCGTAAGTCACGTGAATGTCTTTCATATAAAGGTAATGGGAAATACATACACTGAAAAAAAATCAATAAGTCAATGAATGTTTGCAAGATGCACAGATACAATGGTAAAGAATACAATAGGAAATGCAATCCGTTGGTCTGGACTGACTCATCCCCTCACACACAGCACAGCACAATCAGCCAATATCTAGAGAATCTCAGACCTACATTTACATATCTGTCACGCCTGAGTGGAAATTGCACAGACACCTGCAAGTGGAAAATTTTAGAAGGGGCATTGGTACAGTGAGAGATTGATGTCTCTGTGTTTAATGGAATTTTCTTTTAAAGCTCCAAACTACTGTATGTCAAAGACCTTACACTATCTGTGTCAAATATGTGGGAAATCATCATTAGAAGACAGACACCTTCTGACCATTAGCTACACAAAGACAACAATAGAAAAATAAGTTAATCTCATGCAAAAACTGTTTAAGTGCAATGGTTAGGAAGATTCTTGAGCTTCCTCTGCAACAGACAATTTTACTTAGTTCTTTAGACAGGTTGTCAGAGACACTTACTTTAGTTAGAAATTTCTGCCATGCCTATAATCCAAAGCAAATTAAGAGAACAAAAGTAAGAATTTTCAGGAAAAATTTAAGTCCAGTAATCTAATGACATTTTTAAGATGATAGATTAGTCTTTGTTAAGCTTTGGTTTGCTAATTTTGCACATTACTGTAAGGCACTCTTCAGTACCAGTATTGCTATGTTAATAACTGAGGTGAAATTCTTCTTATTATTTGAGTCCAATAGAGCCATTTGTGAGTTTGCTGCACACTATTTGACAACCAAGCCTTTTCTGACCATAGAAGAAAGCACAGTCCCTGGGCAAAGCAGGGGCAAAACATATGTTCATGGCCACCAGTGAGCACAGACCCGTGCTGCGAGCCTGGTCAAAGCACCTGCTGCTAGAGGCACTCTATCACATGCTGTTAATTCAAAGACAAAAAGTGGCAGTTAAGTGCTTTAGACGCAGTGCTTATGTCTAAATGCTAATCAGGGCCTCTGGTTTTCTGAAACACATGAAAGAGAAAGAAAAGCTGTAAATCAGAAGAGTAATTTCTTATTTACAATAGTTCTGTAGGGTTCAGGGCAGAGTCCCAAAGGTAAGTGCTGAAAAACTCTTTCATAGTAACTTTACTCTTTCCATATCTTTTCTTCCACTAGAAAAAGATGAGAAGAGAACAAATATCTCACAGGCAGAGGTAAGTGATTCTTTTTTTTCTTTTTTTTTTTTTTTAATTTAAACATATTTATTGTTAAAATAGGTCCATGGTTAAAATACCTTTGAAATTCACTGATTTATGGCTGTTAATATTTTCATTTGCATTGTCACACCATTTTCAGCGGCACAACATTTAGGAACCATCACTTTCAAACCAGGGCTGTGCAAAGCTGTGTTGCGCCTCCACTTGGCTGGCTTTCCATTCTCCCTGTAGCAGGGAAACTAGGAAAGGCAAGTTTCTCCTCCACCTTACTTTCATGCACTGGCAAATCAGAGCAAACCCAGCTGACCCTGTCAGCTCACCTTATCCAGCATTGCTTTGGGTCTGCGGATCACTGCTGGTCTACAAAAGCACTGCAAACTCCTCTCTCCTCTTCCCATCTTTTGCCAAGCCTACAGTAGGAACTGCATTGATGTTGCTCACAGATGAGTTAAAATTCAGCTCCTCTGATCTCATTTTCTAACCTCCCTTTACATAGTTCCTGCAATTACCCAATCTCTTTCTCCTTCACCCATTGCTCAGAGAAGCAGGCAGACCTTTAAATAGCAGTAGGAGGTATTGATTGGTTCAAATTTGGACTCCACTACAGACTTATACAGATTTATTGGGTCTAGGATTAACAACCTATCCTACAGTGTTTATAAATAGTTTTCTCTTTCGAAAGAAGACAATATTTTATTTATAAATCTTAAGATTCCATCCATTGTGAAAAGTTAAGGTAATAGTATTGGCCAGTTCTGTGAAAGTGGGTTTTTTTAAGAGCTGTCTTAAATGTTCCTTGAAGAAATAGACCTTATTTAAATTCACAGACTATATACCAGTCAAAGTACTCAGGGAAAAAGGCATAGTTAGCAAAGATTTGGGAAAAGGCAACATCGGCAACACTGAATACAAGTAGAAATTGATTATATGAGAAAAAGTAAAATTTGCCTACACACAGCTTTTTTCAACCTTGTTCTTAGGAAAAACAGTTGAATTGGTATGATATGGACACCAATTTAAATGCTTTCATTTTGCAAAAGTTGCTCTGCCTTAGCACTGGAATGTATTCCGGTTAATTTTTGCTGACTATACATTGACATAGTACTATTACCATATGTTTAATTTTACTACCATTATTTTGGAATAATTTATATTTTGTGCATAGATGTGATTTTGAGGCCATAAAGTTTCACTCTGTCTAAATATGCCAGTTAAAACAGGTCCAGTTAAACACTGAGTGATAGGTTGCTGAAATTATTATTTTAGGAGTAATAGAAAACATTGGCAAGTGCAGGGGAGGGATTGGCCATTTATTTATATAAAAATTACATGTTTATAATTTCAGTACTACCTAACCTACCTTATATACAATCATTCGTTACACTTTATTCAATTGAAATATTGATTAATGTAAATCTTGAAATTAATATATATAAACATTTATTTGCCTTATGAGACTGTTAAAAGCACAGGCTATGTTGATTTTATGCTTAACGCTAATTTTTTCTTTTTTTAGAGCAAAGGATAATTTTCTGTAGTATTGGATCTGTTTTGCCTAGAGTCATAAAGGTTGTCCATTAAACACATATTTTGTCTATCTAATGGAATTCATGAAAGCCTGGGAGCTAGCATCAGATTTATACAATATAAGTTTCTTAGTAACTTCTCAGGTTGGTGCGTGCACCCTCTGAAAGCATAAAACTCTCCCCGTGCCCATCTCTTACTGCCTCTCTCTGTGTTTTGTCCCTCCCCAGTCTCAGAGTGCCTCTCCCAAGCAAAGGAAGCAGAGCGTCTTCACCCCGCCTGCCCTCAAAGGTACTGTGCAGGTACTGTCTCTGCCTCTTGAGCTGCGGCCCTGTGTGTTCTCTCACAAAGGAAGCAGCGCAGCTGTGAGAGGTTCATGCTTAGCCATTGCTGGTTTGATGCTTTGAAGTGACTATCTGGTGTTGACCTCCTGCCTGATACTGACCATCCATTTACCCTCACCACAGAATCTTGCAGCAGTGGCAGTTTAAACTTAGGGGTTTTATTTTTTAAGCTTCTTTTTTGCAAAGTCTTGATTCTTTTATTAGTTTGATATAACAGATAATTCAATGCCAAACTTTGCAGAGAGCTCCTTGAATACATAAGTTTTACCAATGCTGGCCCCATAGAGCTCACCATTTCTTATTTAAACCACTCCCATATATTCTGCTTCCCTTTCCAGGCAGCTGTGAAAAGGAGAATAGCCAAAACTGTGGCCTGGGTATCTGATCATAGGAAGTGTGAAGCCAGCTTTTCTTGTGAAGATGAGAAATGAGAAATCCAGATAAATGTTTAAAGGGCTTACATGCTTTTCAGGAATGAATGTAAAAACAGCAGGAATATTAGCTGGGACCAGAACAGCTAATTTAAGCTTTGCTTCTCAAATGACTCTGAACAGAGTTTGAGTTGATGGTGCTTGCAATGAAGCAAGATCTATAGTGATTCACCAGCACTTCCAACTGACATTTCTCAGTGTAGGATTATTTTCAGACTGCAGACCAAAGGCTATCCTGCCAGGTGTCTCTTGATAGATAATGAATATCCTCAATTTCCATTCCTTTTTGCTTAACACAATTTATTACCTGGCAAAAAAGGCAGGATATCTGATTTGTTGTGTGAAATACTGCCACTATCATTAGGTAATTTACCGTATCAGCCAGTTCTATGCATCTCATTCTGTAGCTTCAATTCTCCAGTACCTATATTAGCAACAATTAAAACATCATTCAGGTATCATACAAGACTTACTGTTTGTCGAAATGGGCTAAAGTTTGAGTACTGGATATTAGAAATAATCTTATTACAGGTGATTATAATAATTTGTGGAAGAATCTTTGCATGGATAGCAACAATACCTATTGATCTCACTGCTAAATTATTTTGCTATACAAGCCTAAACTAAATATTGTGCAAATGAAGTGTAAAAAAGTCCTTATATCTCCTCTATAAACTGCAGCCTACTCAGTGTTACTTTGATACCCTGCTGAGACCTGGGGAAGCACCTGGCATAGCTTGCTTCTACATTAACTTAGTTCCTAGGGAAGAGTAGGAAAGTGTGTGATTCAAGATAGATCACAACTAGACTGAAATATCTTGTAAGCAGAACAAAGCAGAGCAGAAAATGCCTTTCCTCAATACTTTAACACTCTGAACTACACAGTATTCCCAGGTACAGAGGTGAACACCTGGAATTTGATAGCCCTTCCTGTAAACAGACTGGATCACTCCAGATTTCCCATACCATAACTGTCATAAATACTATCCTTTTTATTTTTAATTACTTGAAGTAGAAAATTCATTATTCATTCTTCTTCACTGTTATGAAAACATGAATTTTATTTTGTTAGATTAAGAGATTAGAAGGCAAGTATGTAGGAATGCAAAATACACAATACTATGGAAGCACCTCTCAGAAATAGGGTTTTTGTAAAGATGTAGATTATTCCAGTTTTATAGCAGTTGAAGATACTGATATTCAGCAGTATCTTCAGAATAACAGGCTTCATAATCGCACACTATTCCCACAGCTTGGCATATGTTTATTTCTTGTGGGCTGTTTATCCCTCAGTATATTCACAATATGGTATTCAATATGCAGTAAAGAATGAGATTCTGGATGCTGAATCTCTCTCTTTTATGCCCCCTTTGGCTGCCCCATATTCTCTAGGGCTGTTGCTAATGGAAGGTGGGATAGACTGTAATCCCGTAATTTACATTCAAAGATGGAGATAATAAATCTCCGTAAAACAGAGCTCATATAGTAGAAAAGAGGGTCAAACATTTTCATTTGTTAATTACTCTGCCGTTTTAGTAGCTTTTAGCTGCTGTTAACTCAAAGTTCCCAGAAATAAGCCAAGCCCACAGGCGGGTGCAGAGCCTGGAAGCCGAGACAGCAGCCATGTAGGGAGAGCTGTGGGAGAGATGGGGGACCACGGCACTTGCTTTGCTCTATGCCTGCAGCAGAGAGGTGGTCAAGAGAAACCATGGGGAGAGTGATGCTTCAGCCTGAGCCCAAATAGCTCTTGAGGTTATTATTTCTTCCTTGAACTGAAAGCATTTTTGCTCTACTTCTTGCAAGTTTCATGAAATAATTACAAAACTGTATGAGAAAAATGTCGCTGGTTTCATGAATTCATGGCTAAGCAAGGGAGAGACTGCAAGAGGAAATGGACCTGAATTTTGTGATTACAAACAAAATAGGAAATTAACACTGTTAAAAGGAGCAGAAGCAACATCAGACAATAATGATGACTAGTTACAGTACCAGGACTATATAGTACATGTTATATGGAATATGCAAATACATGAAAATATATTAAATAAATGAAAATGCAGTACTGTCAAGGTTTACGTGTCATGGTATACGTATGCAGATCAGCTTCTTAGTTAAATGTGAGCATAATTTTTCCCTCTGCCATTGCAGTCACCTAAACTAAAAGACAATGTTCTTATCTAAGACTGCCCCAAAATATTTTCATTCCATCCTTACAATGGCTTGCTCTAACTCAAGGCAGGTCTGTCACTGCTGTAACAAACCTGTGTGTCTGCAAAGCCAGCGTCATGTTATGGTACAACAGGCAGATTCTTACTGCTGTATGTTTGTGCACACTCTGTCTCTTGCTTTTATCTTCCTAAACAAAAATGCACCAAAGTCTCTACAGTTGGAGCAAACAGCTGACTCATCTCAGAGCATTGTTCTTTTTACTGGAATACAGCATGCTGGAAAAATCAATGTGAGAGCTATTGATTTGACTGTAGAGTGAATCAGACGGTGAACCAGATAACAGCTCAGTGCAGTGTTCTTGTTAGTATTATGTTACCAAACCTAATGGATTTCAAAAAGGTTTTCCATTTTGCTTTCAAAAATACTTCTTTTTCTAACCCTGCTTGTTAATTCCATGTTTTCATGTAGCACGCAATGTTGGCAAAATTCAGTATCTGAAGACCGCACCAAATTAATCCATCGTATTTTCAGTATGCTGTGATTTACCACTCGTCACATTTATTTCTAGGTATAGCAGCACTCCTTACCTGAGGATTCATCACTTCTATTTTCCCTGTTTGTGTCACTTTGTTCTTCTTTTACTCTTGGGCTTTTCTGTCTGAACTTCAAATTCTCTCATCATTCTATAACTTCCAATGGTCTAATACACTAATCTTGAATCTCCATCACTTTTTTTTCATTTTAGTCTTCTCTTCTTCATGTGCAGAAGTTGGCTTGGACCTCCCATGGAGATCAAAACCAAAAACAAACAAAAAACCAAAACCCAAACACACACACCCCCCTCCAAACCTAAACAGAGGAAGGCTGTTCAATTGGAAAAGTCACCAGTTTTACCTGTGACAGTTTTGCCAGTCTTTTCCAGTCAATTCTCATTGCTAAGGCCTGCTTCTCCTATTTACTAATCTGCATCTCATTATGCATTACAAAACCAAGAAGAATCCTTTGGTCCTTCTCCTCTGTATCAAAGCAGACATTCAACTGTTTTAACATAAATATCCATACATCCATCCATGCATCCATCGACAAATAGCATCTTTATAGGCATATTTATTATCCTGGTCTGTGGGTTAGAGGAGTCCCTGAAAATATTCCTGGATTCTCACCCTTTTCCCCTCACAATCACTAGAGAAGTCTAAAGTGGGATGATAAACCTCTCAGGTAGAGAGGGACCAAGTGGAAGGCAGCTTAGACTGCTAAGGCAGAAGCAGATGGCACTTATCCCTGCTAATGGTGCTTCCTTGACATTACCACTTGAAAATCCAAAGAGCACATTTGAGTCTCAGAGCTACAACTGCAACTTTCCATCCCAAGGCATACTTTGTACTGAGGCAGGTTTCCGTTTACCTAGATAGTCATGTTCTGTTTGGTATGTCAGCTCATACTTGAAAGGAAATGCAGAGTGAAGTGACCGGAAGCAAGGTTTGCAAAGACAAAGAGCTGTTTCCAAATCTGCATTGCTCCCTAGAGCTCCCCGGTCTACACATTATCTACCAGCTATTGCTATTAATACTAGCAGCTATTTAAATATGATCAAGGTCTTCCCTTGTGACAGAAGTGCACGTTCCCAGGTGGTTTGAGGGTTTCATTAAGAGTGAGTCTACTGCAATGGGTGTGCTAGAGATCCGGGAAATAGGAAACCTTCACTCATCCTAGTTCACCCTGCAGGAGGATAGTTAGACCAACATCAAGATCCTACTGAAGTCAGCAGGCTTTAAAGAAAGTTCTTGCAACTTTCTGGTTTAGTGGACCACCTTTGCAATTAGCTGCCATTAATTCATAATTAAACTCGTTCCCCACACAGGCGAAAGGTACATTTGACTGTTTTCCCTCTCGACCTTTTGGGAAATACGTTTCTTAAATTCCCCTCTTAATGTATTTTATTTTGCATAGACAAAGACTTTTTCTTGAGCTAGGCCCCAGCTACAGCATTTGAAATGGGATTAAATCTGAGTTGTAAAGCTAAGGAACATTCTAAGATGTCATTTGGGTTTGACTCATTAAAACAACCAGGACACACTTGCTGTTCCCAAAGTGTTCAAGCCTAGGGATTTGATACATGCATAATTCTACTATTTACAATGATGGTTGATATTAAATGAGCTCTTTCTAGCTTCTGCCATGAATTTCAGATGCTCAGCTTGTTTAGTGCCTGCTTGGTTTTCTCTCCAAAGGAAAAAACATGCAGAATAAATGATTAAAATCATGATGTCCCTCCTGAAATACGTAATTTATTAGAAGTAATTAGTGCAGTGTGTGGCCCTCATCCAAATTTGCAACCCCTTAGGCCAGCTTGGTGAT